AGCCAAACCCAAGTCCTGCAGCCCTTCTTCATATGTTTTAGTCTCCAGGCCTTGGGTCATCTTAGTTGCTCTTCTCTGAATTTTTTCCAAACTCTCAACATCATTTTTTGTGATACGCCGACCAAAATTGGCCGCGGTATTCCAGGTGTGGTCTCACCAGTGTTTTTATAAAGCGGTACTAATACCTCGCGTGATCTTGATTCTGTGCCTCTGTTTATACAACCCAGGATTGTATTAGCTTTTGTTTTGGCTGCTGGCTCAGGTTTAAGTGATCGTCCACTTAGTGCCTCCGAGGTCCCTCTCACAGTTGCTGTTTTTGAGCCCGGTTTCGCCTAATCTGTCCTTGTACCTTTGGTTTCCCCCCACCAAAGGTGTAAAACCTTAGGAGAGATCCTCATCGGGAGAGGTGTATGTGTCATCTTCTCCTGATCACATCCAGGCCACATGCAGAGATATCCAAGCTAGGATTAAGCCCCTTGTAAGAGGTTAAAGATGAAAGATTAAAGATTAAGCTCCACTTAAGATGGTACAGACAGGTCTGCCTGTGGTTTGCCTCTGGCTGCCATTTTTCTGCCAGAATGAGGGTGGAGCAGAGCGTCGTCGGGAGCTCTGGATCCTGCTGAGAGCTGTGGCACCAGAAAAAATGAGCCCAAGAAGTGGAGCAAAAGAGACAGGGGAAACGTGCCAACACTCCAGAAGACAGGCTTAAGATACAGGAGGACCTGGACAGACTTGAACACTGGGCGCTATCTAACAAAATGAAATTCAAGGGTGAAAAAAGTAAGCTTCTACATTTAGGCAAGAAAAACCAAATGCACAGGTATAGTATAGGGGGTACCTTGCTCAATAGTAGTAACTGGGAGAGGGATCTCGGAGTCCTAGTGGACAATCGCTTAAATAGGAGCCAGCCGTGTGCTACAGCAGCCAAAAAAGCCAACTCAGTGCTGGGCTGCATTAACAGAGGGATAGAATCAAGATCAGGTGAAGTGTTAATACCACTTTACAATGCCTTGGTAAGACCACACTTGGAATACGGCGTCCAATTTTGGTCACCACGATGTAAAAAAGATGCTGAGACTGTAGAAAGAGTACAGAGAAGAGCAACAAAGATGATTAGGGGACTGGAGGCTAAAGCATATAAGGAAAGGCTGCTGGAATTGGGTATGTCTAGTTTAACGAAGAGAAGGACGAGGGGGGACATGATAGCAATGTTCCAGTATCTCAGGGGCTGCCCCAAAGAATAAAGGAGTCAAGCTATTCTCCAAAGGGCCTGAAGGCAGGACAAGAAGCAACGGGTGGAAACTAATCAAGGAGAGAAGCAACCTAGAACTGAGGAGAAACTTCCTGACAGTGAGAATAATTAACCAGTGGAACAACCTGCCTCCAGAAGCGGTGAATGCTCCAACACTGGAAGTTTTTAAGAAGAGACTGGACAGCCATCTGTCCGAAATGGTGTAGGGTTTCCTGCCTGAGCAGGGGGTTGGACTCGATGACCTCCAAGGTCCCTTCCAACTTTATTTATTATTATTATTATTATTATTATTATTATTTCCTTTAGCCCACAGGTGCAAATGCTAGCCCCCAAATCTTTGGGTGCAGGAAAGCTCCATCGGCTTTCAAAAGCTGTCCTTTTGGCAGCAAGGAGATTGCTCAATAAACGACGGAGGAGTATAAATCCCCTGAGCTAAATTTAATTTTAACTCTGCTGAAAAGAAACCAGAGCAAATGGCTTCCCTCTTTGACCTCACAGCTACTCTTCAGAGTAAGGTTCACGGCCCCTGCGGTGCCCTTGATGGAAGAAAAAGTCCTGCTCCACTCCGTTCAGCCGGGAGCAACAAAGATAATTAGGGGACCGGAGGTTCAAACGTACATAGAACGGTTGCAGGAATTGGGTAGGTCTAGTTTAAGGAAAAGAAGGATTGGGGTGACATGATAGCTGTGTTCCAATATCTGAGGGGCTACCACAAAGAAGTAGGGGGTCCACTTATTCTCCAAGGCAGGAGGAGAAGCAATGGATGGAAACTCATCATAATTAGAATAGAATAGAATAGAAATAGAAATAGAAATAGAAATAGAATAGAATAGAATAGAATAGAATAGAATAGAATAGAATAATAAGGAATAGAATAGAATAGAATAGAATAGAATAGAATAGAATAGAATAGAATAGAATAGAATAGAATAGAATAATAAGGAATGGAATGGAATGGAATGGAATAGAATAGAATAGAATAGAATAGAATAGAATAGAATAGAATAGAATAGAATAGAATAGAATAGAATAGAATAGAATAGAATAGAATAGAATAATAAGGAATGGAATGGAATGGAATGGAATGGAATAGAATAGAATAGAATAGAATAGAATAGAATAGAATAGAATAGAATAGAATAGAATAGAATAATAAGGAATGGAATGAAATAGAATAGAATAAGAGTTGGAAGGTACCTTGTAGGTCATCTAGTCCAACCCCCCGCCCAAGCAGGAGACCCTTCCCCAATTCCTGACAGATGGCAGTCCAGTCTATTCTTTAAAGCTTCCGGTGATGAAGCTCCCACAACATCTGAAGGCAAACTGTTCCATTGGTTGGTTGTTCTCCCTGTCAGGAAATTTCTCCTTATTTCTGAGTTGAATCTCTCCTTGATCAGTTTCTATCCGTTATTCCTTGTCCTGCCTTCAGGTGCTTTGGAGAATAGCTTGACTCCCTCTTCTTTGGGGCAGCCCCTGAGATATGGGAAGACTCCTATCCTGTCCCCCCTCGTCCTTCTCTTCATTAAACTAGACATACTGTACCTAATTCCAGCAACTGTTCCTTATATGTTTTAGCCTCCAGTCCCCTGATCATCTTGGTTGCTCTTCTCTGCACTTTTTCCTAGAGTCTCAACATCTTTTTTACATCGTGGTGACCAAAACTGGATGCCGTATTCCAAGTGTGGCCTTACCAAGGCCTTGTAAAGTGGTATTAATACTTCACATGATCTTGATTCTATCCCTCTGTTAATGCAGCCCAGCACTGTGTTGGCCTTTTTGGCAGCTGCAGCACATGGTTGGCTCATATTCCAGCAACCGTTCCTTATATGTTTTAGCCCCCAGTCTCCTGATCATCTTGGTTGCTCTTCTCTGCACTTTTTCCTAGAGTCTCAACATCTTTTTTACATCATGGTGACCAAAACTGGATGCCGTATTCCAAGTGTGGCCTTACCAAGGCTTTATATCATGGTGAATCTTGATTGAATCCCTCTGTTAATGCAACTTAGGATTGCATTGGCTAAGGGGGAATTTCCTGACAGTGAGAACAATTAATCAAGTTGCCTCCAGAAGCTGTGAGTGCTCCAACACTGGAGGTTTTGAGGAAGAGGTTGGGCAGCCAGTCGTCTGAAATGGCGTAGGGTTTCCTGCCTGAGCCGAGGGCTGGACTAGAAGACCTCCAAGGTCCCCTTTCCAACTCTGTGATCCTGTCATTCGGAAATCCAAGCGGTCATGTTTTTTTTTGAGCTTGACACTTTCAAAGGAGGAGCCCCCGTCGGACCGAACCGTCCCCGAATCCGGGAGTAATCAAAGAAAGGCGCAAAGACGCCTTATCGCGGATGCCTGACTCATAGGCCAACCAGGAGAATGGGATCACGATAAGGGAGGGAAAATAAATATAAATAACCTTCATATTGTAAAGAGGCAAGATAACTAGGGTCCTATCCCGGCTAGCCCCCCACCCTCCCAAAACAAAAATGCAGGAAAAGTGAAGATGCAACTCTGGGAAGCTCCAGTTGCGAACAGAAGCCAGATCTGGGCAAAGTTGGCATCTTAACCACTTTCAGGATTCGAAGTCTCAACTAAGGGAGTTGTTGCGGAGAATGAGAAGGAAGGTCAGGGCGAGATAAGAGCAGAGAAAGAGATTAGATGCCCCGAGCAACAATCTGCCCTTCGCCCGGCTTGAACCGAGCTTTGGCAGAGCTTGAGATTCTTACCAAAAATGCCTCCCCAGCCACGGAAAAGTTTGGCCTCCACACTTGGGAAGCTCAGAAACCTTCTCCAGAAGGTCTCCCCCCCCCCTCCCTCCCGGATCAGGGCCCGGAGAAGTCCGAAGGATCCTTAGAGCAGGGCTTTTCAACCTTTTCACCCATTGTACCACTTTTAGGATATGGCAACATCCGAGCGCCACCAGTCGCCTAGCAAGGTGTCAAAAAGTTGATGACCCCCCCCCCAAAAAAAGGAAAAAAGTGATAAAGTACAGGTAGTCCTTGACTTACAACAGTTCGCTTAGTGACTGTTCGAAGTTACAATGGCCCTGAAAAAAGCGCCCCCGCCCAAGCCACAGCCACAGCCGAGCAAGACACCTGCCTGCCTGCCCGGCGGCGCTCTTCCTCCTGTCCGAGGTTTTCATTGTTGTGAGCATTTCTGTTGAGGATTGGCAGCGGGGGTGGGGGTGGGGGGTGTTTGGTTTTTATTCCCCCCCGTCTGATGGGTGGTGGCAGCAGGTTTTGGTCACTTCACATGACCCTGGGACACTGTGACCATCATAAATATGAATCGGTTGCCAAGCATCGGAATGTAAATCACAAGACCCTGGAGAGGCTGCAACATTCCAGCTGATCGGCGCTTCTTCTGGGCTCAGCAGAAGCGCCAGGATCAGCGCCTAGATCCAGCTGGAGCCTGGTGCTGATCCTGGTGCTTCCGCTGAGCCCTGGCAGCCCCGAAGAAGTGCCGATCAGCTGGATCCTGGCGCTGATCCTGATGCTTCCGCTGAGCCCTGAAAGCCCTGCAGCTCCAGCCGTCTCTCGCTCAGGCTTGTGCGGTGCTGCCACCGGTTCAGCTCATTCCCCTCCCCCCGCTACCACTTTTCTAGAATGGTCGCGTACCACCTGCCAGGTGCCAATGTACCACAGGTGGTACCCGTACCACTGGTTGAAAAGCCTGGCCTTAGAGGAGAGCGCCACGTTCTGGCCGTTGACCTCAACCGACCCCCTCCCCCTCGCCCACGCCTTTCCCCGACGGTACTCACAGATGCAGACCGCGGCCAGGAGACGGCCGGCCAGGTAGGGCGCCTCGCAGGACGGGAAAAAGGGTTGGACCAAGTAGTTGGCGAAAGTGATGGCGATGATGGCCTGGCTGGTGGGCTCTATGATGAGCAGGGAGGTCCACAGGCGGATGAACGCCGGCAGCTGCCCGAAGGCCTCCAAGATGTAGGCGTAGCTGGCCCCCGACTTTTTGATGGTGGTGCCCAGCTCGGCGTAGCAGAGGGCCCCGAAGACGGAGAAAAGGCCCCCCACGCCCCAGATGACGAGGGAGAGTCCGTACGACGCGCTGTAGGCCAGGACCCCCTTGGGCGAGACGAAGATGCCCGAGCCGATCATGTTGCCCACAATCAAGCAGACGCCGTTGAGCAGCGAGATTTCCTTCTTCAGCTGCATCGTCTCCTCGGAGGAGGAGACGGACTCCGGCAACTTCCCATTAGCCGCGGCCTTAGCCGGGGTTTCATCCTGAGTGGCCGCCACCACATACTGGCCGGACCTGGTCATGGCTGGGCAAAGGAGAAAATAACTCAGTTAGCGCCACGGCTGGAAGGGACACCACCACTACCACCACCACCCTGCATCCCAAAAGGTGCGGGTTTTTTTCCCTCCTTGGGGAGCGAGTCAGACAATGCCTTATTAGCTTCTGCAACCTGGAGCTCTTCAGAATCAGAATAGAGCTGGAAGGGACCTCGGAGGTCTTCTAGTCCAGCCCCCTGCTCAAACCGGAGAGGCTATACCGTTTCAGACAAGTGACTGTCCAGTCTCTTCTTAAAAACCTCCAACGATGGAGCGCCCACGACGTCAAATGTGCTCCCGTTAGCCCCGACTTAATAAAGGCGAGAATCCATCCCGGACCAGTTTGAGGAAGGTGGCATCAAAATAAGCTTTGCAGATCTAAACTCGGCTTGGCTAGTCTCCATGGAAGCGAAGTGCACCAAGACTGGGCACAGAGTCGGTTTGGTCCACCGCAGTGTGCCTCAAGGGGGTTTTAACTAACTAAATCACAACTGGCCGCTTCACACAAGCGGCGAACGCCCGGATCCAAATCAACCAGAATCTGATCTAGTACAGTGAAAAGCTAGTCTCTCTTGTCTACCAGGACAGTGAAAACTGGCCACACTTGGAATACTGCATCCAGTTTTGGTCGCCACGATGTAAAAAAGATGCTGAGACTTTAGAAAGAGTACAGAGAAGAGCAACAAAGATGATTAGGGGACTGGAGGCTAAAACATATAAGGAACGGTTGCTGGAATTGGGGATGTCTAGTTTAATGAAGAGAAGGACGAGGGGGGACAGGATAGCAGTCTTCCAATATCTCAGGGGCTGCCCCAAAGAAGAGGGAGTCAAGCTATTCTCCAAAGCACCCGAAGGCAGGACAAGAAACCACGGATGGAAACTGATCAAGGAGAGAAGCAACCTAGAACTAAGGAGAAACTTCCTGACAGTTAGAACAATTAACCANGCTCCAACACTGGAAGTTTTTAAGAAGAGACTGGACAGCCATTTGTCTGAAATGGTATAGGGTTTCCTGCCTGAGCAGGGGGTTGGACTCGATGACCTCCAAGGTCCCTTCCAACTTTATTATTATTATTATTATTATTATTATTATTATTATTATTATTATTATTATTATTATTATTATTATTATTATTATTATTAAGGCTGGAAGAGGTATTCCTTTGCTTCCTGCGGACCTGGCTTTTTTTTTTCTTTTTTCTTTGCTAGATCCAGGGGAAGAAAGCTCTAAATTAAATTGATTTAAAAAAAAAAAAAGTAAAATCAAATCTGGAAGAATAATCAAACGGGCAGGCGCAGACAGGTCCAGCATTCAGACGGCCCAGCGGATTCTCTAGAGGTCAGAAATGCTACAGAAAGTCACATTTGGACAGGACTCTTTGTGAATGGGATCCAAGCAATGATAAGAACTCGGGTTTCTGTTTTAATCAGGGACAGATCTCCCGGCGATGGCTGGAAAGCAGGATCCTGATCCCTTCCCAGCAAGGGATCTAGAAAAAAAAAAAGGGACAAGGATGAAGAAGAAGCTGCCTGGAGAGATGGATTGAGTAGGACTCACCAGTTCTGGGCTTAGCTTTCTCTCCCCCTGTGGAACTGCCTGCCTGTCCTCGGACCAGCTTAAGACTAAAGAATTGAAAGCTGTCAGGACAGCACTTTTAACTTGAGGAACTAAGCAGGGTGGCTGGGGGGGAGGAGTGAGGGGGGGTGAGCCATCGAGTCCAAGGTCCGCCTGGTGCCAGGTGGGGGCAGGGGCAGCCTCTACCTCATCCTTTGGGAGATAAAGGACTGCCAGTTCCTGCACATATTTCTCCCAGCCGTGCCCAAGAAGAGCAAGCGGAGATTTCCTGAAGGAGAGCACGGGGCATGTCCGTAACCCAGCTGTGATTTCCTGCGTCAGCTTTCGGCATCCACTCTTCCACAAAGTCTCCAGGTCGCGCCCGGCTCTAGAGGAAAGGGGGGGGTTCCTGCGAATCCTAGATTTGGGCGGCCTCTCGGCTTCATCTTAATGGGGTCCACCTCATTCTCCAAAGCGCCCGGAGGCAGGACGAGAAGCAACGGATGGAAACTCATCAGGGAGAGACGCCACCTTAGAACTAAAGAGGAAATTGCCTGGCAAGTGAGGACAATTAATCAGAGGAACAGTTGTGAATGCCCCAACCCTGGAGGTTTTTAAGAAGAGACTGGGCAGCCGTTGGTCTGAAATGGTAGAGGGTTGAAATAATAGAAAAATACTTGTAGCTCTGGTTTGAGATGGTGGCACTGGTTTGCTCTCCAAGCTTGTTTCAGTTCAGTTTCTGCATGTTTCATTACCAGACAAGAATCTCTGTGTCTCGTGTGGAGATATATACAAAGTATATACCTCATATGTACCCAAGACATACATAGTCTCTGTGTCTCGTGTGGAGAGATGTACAATGTATATATCTCATATGTACACAAGGCATACATACAGAGTCTCTGTGTCTTGTGGAGATATATACATTGTATATATCTCATATGTACCCAAGACATAGATAAAGAGTCTCTGTGTCTCATGTACAGATATGTACAATGTATATACTTCATATGTACACAAGACATACATAAAGAGTCTACGTGTCTCATGTAGAGATATGTACAATGTGTATATCGCATATGTACCCAAGACATACATACAGAGTCTCTGTGTCTCGTGTGGAGATACACACAATGTATATACCTCATATGTACACAAGACACATACAGAGTCTGTCTTGTGGAGATATATACAATGTATACATCTCATATGTACACAAGACATACATAAAGAGTCTGTCTGTTGTGTGGAGATATGTACAATGTATATACCTCATATGTACACAAGACATATATAAAGAGTCTCCATGTCTCGTGTGGAGATATGTACAATGAATATATCTCATATGTACACAAGACATAGAGTCTCCGTGTATACCTCATATGTACACAAGACATACATAAAGAGCTCCGTGTCTCATGTGGAGATATGTACAATGTATTTACCTCATATGTACACAAGACATACATAGAGTCTGTGTCTCGTGTGGAGATACATACAGTGTAGATACTTCATATGTACACAAGACATACATACGGAGTCTCCGTGTCTCATGTGGAGATATGTACACTGTATATACCTCATATGTACACAAGACATACATAAAGAGTCTGTCTGTTGTGTGGAAATATGTACAATGTATATACCTCATATGTACACAAGACATACATACGGAGTCTCTGTGTCTCATGTGGAGATATGTACACTGAATATACCTCATATGTACACAAGACATACATAAAGAGTCTCCGTGTCTCGTGTGGAGATATGTACAATGTATATATCTCATATGTACACAAGACATACATAGAGTCTCCGTGTATACCTCATATGTACACAAGACATACATAAAGAGTCTGTGTGTTGTGTAGAGATATGTACACTGTATATACTTCATATGTACACAAGACATACATACGGAGTCTCCGTGTCTCATGTGGAGATATGTACACTGTATATACCTCATATGTACACAAGACATACATAAAGAGTCTCCGTGTCTCGTGTGGAGATATGTACAATGTATATACCTCATATGTACACAAGACATACATACAGTCTCTGTGTTGTGTGGAGATATGTACAGTGTATATATTATATATTATATTATATATCTCCACACAAAATATATATAAGCTAAAAGGGAATAGCTTGGAGAGCAAACCAATGCCAAAAGTGTATAATAGGGTTTCCTGCCTGAGCAGGGAGTTGGACTAGAAGACCTCCAAGGTCCCTTCCAACTCGATTATCCTGTTAATAACTTCCTAGTCCAAAGGCTCAGTCCCAGAGATAGCCCAGACTGTTTTGATACCAATAGAAGAGAATCTCCGTAGCTGAAGGTTGAACCGTGGGGTCCTCGGTGCGTGCTGAGTGCGACGGTTCCTTTGCAGGCGCTTCATGACGCGACTAGGTGACTTGTTCACCCACTAGGTTAGCAACACCAGCGTGTACTACGATTAAGTAAACATGTTTTGAGCAGAAAATGCTTCTCATTTCCTTTGTGGCAACTGAGGGTTCTCAGCCCGGGTCAACCTTAAAAGAAGAAGAAAGGGGTGGGGAAGAGATAAATATAAGACAAGTAGGAATCGAAAGTAGCTCCGGAAGTTTTATTTTAGCCAGCTGGACACAAATCCATCTGTTGCGCAGAACGCTGCTCAGTCATAACGAGTCCTTTGTTTTTGTGATTTTCATTTTCATTTTTTTTAATCTGTGACTATTTTGGTCCAATAAAAGAACTCTGGAAAATTCAGCAGCTTACGTTCCTCTTTTCATATATACTTTCCACGTTTAAATGTATTATTTATTAATCAAATTTACGTACCACCCATCTCATTGTTTAAGCGACTCTGGGTGCTTTAAAAAGTAAAATAATGTTAGAATCCACATTAAAAAAAAACAAACCTGTACAAAAGTAAACAGATAGCAAAAGCACCTCGAGTCATTCCCAGGGCTTAATTCCACATGCTAATGGACCGAGCCAGATCTTAATGCTCTTCCAGAAATTGGGGGCCAAGATATGCCATACTGAGAGAGAGAGAGAAAGGTGAAAGTGACTGGCTGAAAGAGAACTGCAGTCAGTCACTTTCTCTCGGCTCTAGGAAAGAGGCTTCACTTCGGAAAAACCTTGCCAATAAAATTGTAGGGACTTGTCCAGGCAGTCTCTGACAATCGGACATAACTGAATGGGAAAAAAATATATCATACATATTTATATATATGCCACCTATATGTCTGCCTGCCTGCCTGCCTGCCTGCCTGCCTGCCTATCTATCTATCTATCTATCTATCTATCTATCTATCTATCTATCTATCTATCTATCTATCTATCTATCTATCTATCTATCATCTATCTATCTATCTATCTAGTTATCTATCTATCTATCTATCTATCTATCTCTCTATATCTATCTATTTATGCCACCTATAGTTGTACAGTATATATGCCATAAACGTATATGTATGCTACATGTAGTTATGTACGTATATGGCACACATATTATAATTATATCTATGCCACAAGGTTTATATATACACCACATATATTTATACATATGCCATGAAGTTATATATATGGGTGTGTGTGTGTATACATGTTATATGTGCCATATCTTATATACATGCCACATATAGTTATATGTATGCCACAGTTATTTATGCACACACACACACACACATATATAGTGTATATATAGTGTGTATATATATACACACACATACTATTATATACTATACTATATATGCTATGTGTGTGTGTGTATTATATTATATTGTGCTTTTCTATTATCGTAAGCCACCCAGAGCCCAGAGTTGGTTGATAGTGAAATGAGCACTATATGAATTTAATAAAATCAAGTATAGTACACACACACACACACACACACGCAGGAAAAGACCCTTTTTCTTGAAAAAAAAAAGAAGTGAAGCAAGTGAGGCCTTTTCCCATCTGATACTCTGGGGCTGGGCAAAGGGTCCACCTCGCATCCCATCCTTCCCAGCTGGCGCTGCCCAGACCCGATGGGGGAGGAATGGGGAGCGCCAGGTTGGGGAAGGCTGCTTAAGAGAAAGGCGCTAATTTATTCCTCGGTCACTTGCATCAATCTGGGCCTCCCTCGGCCATCCGAACAGGCGGAAACCCCAGATGACTGTTTACATGGTCGCCAAGGGCAACGGCTTCCTTAGCAACCAGCATCCAAGATGGCGCCCTAGGGACCGTTTGGAAAATGGCCGAGACGCTCTTTCCGCCCCTAAGAAACATGGCCGCCAGAATGCTGTGAAATGTCGCGAATAGTGCATTGGAATCTAGGCGAGGCCTTTCTTAGAAATGTGATGTTTTCCTTAAAGTAACTAATAGATGGCAATTTAGTGATTATTATTGTTTATGCGAACAGCGGTAGGCAACCTTGGCTCTTTTATGACTCGTGAACTTCAACTCCCAGAATTCCTGAGCCAGCCATGCTGGCTCAGGAATTCTGGGAATTGAAGTCCACGAATCATAAAAGAACCAACGTTGCCTACCCCTGGGCGAATAAGGACGCCTCATCCAAGATGGAAGCGGATCTCCGTTTCCGTTTGCAAAATGGAGTCTGATTTAGCTTCCGGGTCACGCACACTCAAGTCCTCTAACGCCTAGGCCGAAAATGGCGGCTCTCACAGACGAATGGACGCTATCAATAGCCGGACAATACAATCCGCGTTGTATTCCAAATGCCGCCCAGCGGTGGTCTCCGGAGAGTAGCTCCAGCCGATGCCTCAACGCTTCGCCCCTATCCAACCTTTTGCCCTTTTCCTACGAGACGTTCAACATCCGTACAAAATGGCGCCTCCCAGTCAACCGGTGACCGGATGAGGCGGAACTTCCGTTTGGACGATCGAAAAATGGCGCCTCCGGGGCCGGTTTGAACCGTGCACCGTCGGTGAACGAGCACCGCGCAACTCGGGTCTTCCGAATGGCGTTTCCCGTGACCCCGAAGCTGGGTATGGACCTCTTGGGAGGTGGAAACGCGCACGGGCAGAAACGCCTGCCGAGAGAACGAATGGCGTATTATTCTGCTTTTCCTGGGGTCGGTTGCGTTGGTTTCAATGGGGCTGCCTTGGGAGGGGGATGTGCGGAGACCCAGTTTGCAAAGGGGGCCCCTCCCCAACTAAGTATCCACTCCCAATATTCCCAGACATTGGAAGGACACCCTCCAGGAAAGACTGACCTCAAATTCCAAATTCCTAATTCAGAAAGGTCCAAACTGCTCTATAAGTCCCGCGATGGCCCTATTGAGCAGCAAATCGGGTGGGGGGGTCTTGGCTAATGAAGAAATTGATATCCAGCCCGTTTTGTGAATGGTCGGAGCTGCGTTTTTCCAACCCTAGCAACTTTTAAGACGGGCGGACTTCAACTCCCAGGATTCCTCAGGCAGCACAGCTAGCTGAGGAATTCTGGGAGTTGAAGTCCATCTGTCTTAAAAGTTGGCAAAGTTGAGAAACATAGGGGTGAAGGGTCAAAATATGCCCCCTTAACACTGACAAATCTATTGCAACAGTACAGGTAGTCCTTGACTTTCAACAGAGGATGGGATAGGGCAGGGCAGGGCTGGAAGGGACCTTGGAGGTCTTCTAGTCCAGCCCCCTGCTCAAGTAGGAGAACCTACACCAGGGGTAGGCAACTTTGGCTCTTTTATGACTCGTGGACTTCAACTCCCAGAATTCCTGAGCCTGCATGGCTCAGCTTGGAAACCTCTCCCTTTTCCCTCAGCATGCCTGGCTCAGGAATTCTGGGAGTTGAAGTCCACGAGTCTTAAAGTTGCCAAGGTTGAGAACCCCTGATCTAGGGCAGGGGTAGGCAACTTTGGCTCTTTTGTGACTCGTGGACTTCAACTCCCAGAATTCCTGAGCCAGCATGGCTCAGCTTGGAAACCTCTCCCTTTCCCCTCAGCAAGGCTGGCTCAGGAATTCTGGGAGTTGAAGTCCACGAGTTATAAAAGAGCCAAGGTTGCCTACACCATCTCAGACAGGTGATTGTCTAGTCTCTTCTTAAAAATTTCCAGTGATGGAGCGCCCACGATTTCTGGTGGCAAGCTGTTCCACTGGTTCGTTGTCCTCACTGTCAGGAAGTTTCTCCTTAGTTCCAGGTTACTTCTGTCCTTGACCAGTTTCCAACCATTGTTTCTCGTCCTTCCCTCTGGTGCTTTGGTGAACAGCCTGACCCCCTCTGCCTTGTGGCAGCCCCTCAGATACTGGAACCCATTTGAAGTTACCATGGCACCGAAAAAAGTGACTTATGACCATTTTTCACACTACTGACTGTTGCAGCATCTCCATGGCCAAAATTTAGAGGTTTGGCAACTGCCTCATATTTATGACGGTTGCAGTGATCCCCTTTTTGCGACCGTCTGACAAAGTCAATGGGGAAGTCAGATTCACTTAACCGTGTTACTAACTTAAGAGCTGCAGTGATTCCCTTAACAACTGTGGCAAGAAAGGACGTAAAATGGGGCAAAACTCACTTAACAAACGTCTCACTTAGCAAATTTGGGCTCCATTGTGGTCGCAAGTCAAGGATTATCTGTAATAGGTTCCCCCCCCCCCTTGGGAAGCACATCCAGAATTGATAAGGTTGTACATCTATACACAACCCAATTGACTCCGGGTGTGTGTGTGTGGGGGGGGGAATAATAAATCTTTTTGTCCTTTTCTTTTTTTTTAATTCACATTTTCTTCAATATTTTTGTTTTGTTTTGTTTCGTCTCTGTTTAATTTTTTTCTTTGGGATTTTGGATTTTAATTTTTTGGGAATGCAATAAAATTTCAGGAGCCAAATTGGGTGGTATATACAAATCAGTGGCCAAGCATCTGAATTTTTGATCACGTGACCCCAAGGATCATAAGCCACTTTTTTCAGTGTTGTCGTAAGTTCGAATGATCACTAAATGAACTGTTGTAAGTTGAGGACTACCCATATTTTATGGATTGCAAGGATTAATAAAATTGTTTTTAAAAAAAGAAAAAAAAATACATCAAACAGAAGGCTTCTGGGAAGCAAACCCCACACTAATTCTAGTAACCTTCCTTCTACTGTTGCAGTGCTCATTGTTACATTTTTGCTCCTGTTTTTTCCTCCGATTCTTTCTCTACTCACTCAGCCTGGAGAGCCTCAGTTAATACTTTCCTAACCACCTGGAGGCAGTGCAGGACTAGTTTGATTCTGTTTGAAACTTATCAAATATATGTAGCCATGATATTGTAGCTACATACACCTGATGAAGTCCAAAGGGAATAAAACTAGTTGTGTATTACAGTCAATATATGATTTTTTTAAAAACCCACCCAGGAGGTACACTGTCTAAAAATCAAGAAATGTCCTTCCCCAACAGGGGTGAAAGATACCTAGAACCTTGTTAAATGAAACTTAAGAAAACATTTCTTTCCTTCCTTCTCTTTCTTTCTTTCTTTCCTTCCTTCCTTCCTTTCTGCTTTCCCCTTCTCTTCCTTTTTTCTTTTCTTTCCTCCCTCCCTCCCCTCTTCTTCCCTTCCTTCTTTCCCCTTCTCTCTCTTTCTTTCTTTCTTTCTTTC